GGTTATTTATGTTAAATTAAATACTATCTAGTCGCATGAATGAAATGTTATGTAAGGTCTAAGAAGTCGAGAATGCCTGTTCGTATGAAGCAACTGAATGCAGCTGATAAACTTCACAGTGAGCAAAAGTTTTTAGCCTCTGCCTGATTTTTTTTTTACTCTTTTGAGCAAAGTTTCTCTATTTCGCTGTCATCAGAGTGCTTAAATATTTAGAGACCTGTGACACATCAGATTGTTTTGAACTTTTAGTTTTCTATATCAATTTTCATTTCTCAAAGTATTCTCTGCAGTCTTTTTGCTATTCCTTTGCAGAAACTTGTAAGCAATTAATGGTCAAGTCGGTAACTCGCAGGCTAAAATAACTGTAAATAATGAATGAAATGGAAACTTTGTTGCAACTCAGCTGAAGCAGCCCCCTCCCCCTCCCCCTTAGTCCAACCCAAAAAAAGTTGACATTTGAAAGTTTTAAATGCCAGCCATGCCATGCCACCTCAGCCTCCCCTCTAGCTGCCAGTCCCCAATTTGTAACCTTTAAGCTGCGACTATTTATGAATATTTATTAGCTGTAAACTTGGTATGTAGTTAATTGAAGCGGTTCACATAATCCCGAGACCTGTTGCCTCATTAACGCCTAGGCCGCTCGCAATAAAAGTATTTGGCCAGCGGGCAAAGTTAATTACAATATTTTATGGCCGGGCATACGAAACAAATTTAATTCCCTAACAAATTGCCCACGGTGCAGAGAAACGTGACCGAGACGAACATTAGGTTCATTAAATACTGCGAAAAACAAAAATGAATAAAACTTCAAGTTGAAAAAGTCCTTAAATGCGTAATTCAAAGAGGAACTAAGTAATTATTTTTATTTCTATTATAAATTAAGGCCAAAATAGAAGGAGCGGACAAAAGGTCACTGTTGAATTGAATATAAAAGTGAGCCTTCGGATTTTATTGTATTTTACTAAGAGAAGAATGTATTGTGTTTCTGGTACGAACTAAACGAAGGGAGAAGCATCATCGTGCACTATCTTCTTAAGCTTGCTCACTTCATATCTGGTCGACAGATGAGCAGAATATATAGGGGAGAAGCGGCAAACATTTTCTATTTCCCTCTTTTAAACTAATTCATCTTAACATTACAGTGTTTAAGATAAGCTGCAGCGAGAAGCGTCAAGCTCTTTAACTGCTTACTTGAAGACGCTTCGCTCTTCGTTTTTGTTTTGCCGCGAAACTGCAAGGTTTTTTAACACCACTAAACTTATCTTTTAACCTTTTCTGCCTACTGAAAATAAAGGGAGCAAGGTTTTTTAACACCACTAAACTTATCTTTTAACCTTTTCTGCCTACTGAAAATAAAGGGAGAAGGGACAAATTATTTAATTTTGTATTTTGTTGTAGTTTTCACATTATTTTCAATTAAGTTGTTTCTTTTTGCTTGTTTGGGGCATACAATGCGAGAAGCGGCAAACCTTTTCAAAGATAAGCCTCCTATTAACGCTTCTCTCTTCATTCGATGAGTAACTTATACAGAAGCCTTTGCGTTTGGTTTACACTTAAGCCTAAGTCAAGCTTAAAATATGTCCTCTGGGGCAACATAAAAAAAAATGTTAATACTGTTGAATGCTATAATTTTTTTTATTGAAAACTTAAACAATGTAGTAAAGTTGTACTTTGTAGCACCGAATGCAAAAGCAAAAGTTTTATTACTTTCTGCAAGGTCATAACGACAAGAACAACCTGTAAGTAAAATCTCAGATATATCTAGTTGTGCAGATTGGACACGGGGATGTTGGATGGATGGTGCTTGAGGGTGGGCAAGGGGCAGCAGGTCGGGGTATTGGGGCAAGTTTTGCTCATACGCTTCATTTTTATTTTTGTTTTTTTTTTTTTGGAGGCGGACGCCCACGCGGCGCCATTTGCGCATCTCTGCGCTGGTTATTCAACAGCGCCTAAAAGACTGCCGTTTCTGCGCCATAAACGCCAAAACGCATTTCAAATTATTCAAAAGCATTTATATATTTTTTTTTACTAAGAAAAAAAGGATGTGAAATGGATATCGAAGCCCAGTTTTCAGCAATTGGATAAACTGTTAATTAAATTTCCACGAAATTGACGCCGCACGCAGAACTTTCGCTTTTCATTACAACAAACACAACAATAACGACAACAACAACAACAGCCAATACACATAGATACACACGCTCACACACACACACGCACACACACACAGGCACACACCCACGTGTGCTGCTACCCACACTAAGCGCTGAATTTGTTCACACGGGCACTTTTCACACAGTTTCTGGTCCGTTCAGTTTATTATCGCACAACCAACGCACTCGCAACTCCGCCACGAACTGTTTCTGTTATCCAGAGTCCTTTCACATTCAAAGTTCAAATACGCTCTGCGAATGTCCGCCAAGCGGTTCGTGTCCTGCGCCTCGTGTGCTGAGCGAACACTTCGCCACTCGCTCTCACGCATCCTGTCGCCAGTTGTTGTTGTTGCTATTTGTTATCAGTTTGATTTGATTTGGTGGCAAGAAGCAGCAGCAGCAGCAGCCCAAGTCCTCGCACAACCTGCCTTTACTTGGGCGAGGGTGTCTGCTGTATGTGTGTGTGTATGCTCTCAAGGATATTTCCTGTGTGAGAGCGCACTCCGCGTAATTCACCACAGTTGTTCCTGTTGCTGCTGCCGCTCTCTGTTATTTGTTTGCTACAGACACCTGTAGTGCGTGCTGGCAAAAGCTTTTGCGCCAGAGTTGCCACCCTGTCAGCTAGTATATGTCCAAGTACGCTTAGAACAAATGCAGTGTTGCATAACAATTAATGAACGTCAGAATAAAATAAGTTTAGATTCGTCAAGATCGTGCAGTATGTTGTCGGTTTCATAAATAAGTATAAATATAATTATTTAAGTATCATGCATTTAGTTTTCTATTAAAACAAATTTCCTCTTGTTGTAAAAGGTTTAGTACAATAAATGAACATTATGAATGTAAATTATTGCATTCTTATTATTAAAAACTGATTACATTTTTCAAGCACTTACGTCTTTTGGGCGTAGATGTAAGCAGCTATTACGGCGATTGACCGTGGATTAGAAAGCGATTGCAGCAATTCTAGTGAAATATTGCTCAACAGGGCGAGTGTTGCTTATCGCATTGAACATTCAATAGCATAGTGTTGAAAAGCGCACACAATTATTTACCAACTATTTGGTTATTGCAGAAAACTGCAATTTATGAAATCCATCGTCGAGTCAATATTATAACAGGTATATGCAAATGACATGGCTGCCTTTTATAACACCAACACATATGTATATAAATTGCTATCTTTAATGGGCACCTGTCATAGCCAAGGAAATTAGGATAATAAGCTTTCAGTTGGCTACATAAACAATGTACGGTACCCAGGCCAACACGCGCAACGCGAGCTATTGAAGGCCATGTTATGCTCTGTTGGGCAATGCATTTTAGCCTCAATTACTCAAACAACGACAACCTGTTGGCATTTTGTGCGCTATTTCTTGACACACCACCTCGCCCACCAATAGGTATGTCTGTCTGTCTGTCTGTCAGTCTGTCCTGTTCGGTAGTTTCTACAATTTGCTACATTCTAAATGAACTCTTAAAAGTGCTCTGACATTTCACTTGGTCACGTTGCGACCAGGGGACACAGTGATGGAGAGAGGGATGGTGAGAGGGAGGGTGTGAGGGGGAGTGAGCGGTAGCGAGCGGGAGACCGTGGTAGATATTAAAGTGGCATGGGATGTGGCCAACAGTTGACGTAATTTGCAGGTAATGTGTGGCCTGTTGCTGCTCCTGTTCATATTATTGCCCCCAGGGCAACGGATGTGTGGCAACAATCTATACACTCCCTCTCCCTCTCTCTCTCTCTCTCTCACTTGTTGTATCTTTGGCGCTGCAGCGAGTACAAAATTGCCTTTTGCTGGCGCTGGCCAAGCGTGTGACATGTGCGCGTCGTATTGATTTATGGCATTGATGGCGCTCGGAGCTGGATTCGACACATCCTATCATTTGCTGGTCTGTAATAAAAAACTCACTTTGTCTGGCTCGAAAAATAACACAACGCCCAACCGACACACACACACATATCCACACAAACTCCAGTCCAGTCAAAATCAATTTTAACACGCTTTCATTATATCGCAAAATTAATTGACTGCCTGCACTTGGTTCTGCCCGCTTCCGCCACCGCTCCCGGTTCCTGCTCCAGCTTTACAGCCATGTTAATTGAGTCAGCAACCAAAATGCAATATTCAAACAGTGTGCCCGTACTTATACATGCACATAGCTCTCTTCCTCTTTCTCTCGATATAAAGTGACAGATTCGAAGTGCAAGTGAATTTTGTGCACATTTCCGTTGTGCTAAACGTGATTGAAAGCGGAAATTGCGGCAGGTTCTTTCTTTTGCTTTACGTTTCGCCGCTTCCGTTTGACAGCCACAAAATGGTGGCTCATCACATCCTACTCGCTGCTCACGGGTCTCTGCTCCTTGCTCTGGCAACTCCCGCTCCATCCGTGGTTTAGGCCTGAGTGACTGGCAAATCGTGTTTTTCAATTGACATTCGATAAAATTGTGTTAGAGACCCCTTCACTCGCACCGTTGGCCCCGCTTTAAGCTACACAACTAAAACTGCTGAAGTGTTGGACAACGCGCGCTGATGCGATTAACGGTACCGAACATCAGCGACTGTCGTACACCATCAGGATTTTGGTATACACTTACAAATTAGGGATACGTTAAATAGTTGGTTAGCTATGCATGAGTAAAACTTATATTTTTGTTAATTAGCTGATCAGAAAATATTTATATAGCCGTTATAAATTGTATATGTACTTATACATACAAATAATTAAGATAATCAAATTATATTTCATATAAGTATTTAAAGCTTGTTTTTATGCCTTTACCAAATGTTATATGTTTTCACAATAAAGTAGAGCATATCATATGCGATCTAAAATAGTTTTTAGCTCATTCCTAGTGCTGATAAAAATGTTGCAAAAATGTGAAAATTTGTGGAAAAGGGAAAAATATACAAAAAACACGATTGCATTTAATTGAATTTGAGCTTGGCTTAGGACATCAGGCCCTCGTTGCGCAATATGGCCGTCATGTCAAACTGCAGCAGGACAATCAAATACGATGTAGCCGCGCTCACAGTCTGCCACAAAAAAAAATATAAGGGTAAAATATACAAATAAATTGTAGTTAAAAGTCAGCTGTCAGTTGCAGCTGCAGTTGACTTACAGAGAATATAAACGTGTAGTCCAGTGCAAAGAGTCCGATGCCATTGAACTGAAAGTAGCCCTCCCAGTGCAGGAATTGCAATGTAAATGACTTCATTTTGTTGTAAAACAGATCATTGCTCAACATAAAGGCGGGCTTCTTTTGCATAATCTCGTGCACAATCATGGCCGATTGCTTTGAATGATTGTTGGCATTGCAGCACAGCCGCAGCACAATGTAGGCCACGACCATGGTGGTAAAGCTCCAGATCACATACAAATAGGTTACATAGTCCAGCAGGCGGCTCTTGCCGCTGACTATAAAGTTGACCTTCGTCTCGAGGAATATGCCGAATATGCTGACCACAAAACAGGCCGCCATATAGGGTACACACTGTGGTCCGAATTCGCCATTGGTTATCACGCTCAATGCGAGTATTTTGTCGTGCAGCTTGAACAGATCCGGCAAATTGGCCTCCGATGTGCTGCTACAGAAATTGGTTACAAAATGGAATTTGGGCTCAATTACACTGTGCTACAGACGACACTTTTCTTTTGCAATCAGGCTGTAGTTTTACTTTTCTGATGCAACAACTAAAAAAATCAAAACAAATAACTAAAAATAAACTCCTTGTAATGAATTTCTATTTTTATCAACATTTCCAGAAGCTGAGGGTAAATAATCCCTTGATAGACCTATTTAATGGGTAAAGGAATATACTAGCGTTAATAAAAATTGATTTATTGAGAAAGTTTTTTCCCACTGCCGAGGGGGAGGTGTTAAAACTTGATCTGAATATACTATTCTAGAAGCTACATGTAAAATTTGGATGACTGTCATTCTTAAAACTTAAAAGATTTTTTCAAAACTTAGGATAAACATATCGATTTCTGTCGATTGCTTGGAAACGAGGCAAGAGATTTGTTCTAGATATCGATTTCTGTCGATTGCTTGGAAACGGGGCAAGTTATCAATGATCGGAAACACACTCGTACTGCGAGGGAAATAGGAGGATCTACGTTCAAGTCGCTAGCTCTTATAGGTTCTGAGAGCTAATATATACGGACAGACAGACAGGCGGACATGGTTAGATGCACTCGGCTGATTGATGCTGATCGGATCGGGGTCGGATTTTTCTTGCTTCTGCCTGTCAAATACATTTGCACAAAACAATTATATATTTTTAACCACTTTCAATGGGTTAAGGTATATAAAAATAACAGAAAAACTATTAAATATTGATTTTGTTATTCGGGACGCAATCAGAAAAGTAAAGAGCCTGTTGCATAGTGTTATTAGAAGGGGTTTTGTTAGCTTTGGTTTTTTTGTTTGTTTCTTTTTGGCTCACTCGGTATTCTCGCCCATCATGCCGTCGTTGTAATCAAAAATATCATCGTCCTCCTCATCGCTGGTATTCAGTTCATCCTCGTCGTCCTGTTTTGGAGGCTGCGCCTTTTGGCTCTTCAATTCATCCGCCAGTTTGAGCTCATTGCTGAATATGGCTTTGGTTGCGGCTGCCTTCTCCGTTGGCGTTGGCTTCCGCTCCTGCTTCTTGCCCTCGCTCTCAATGTCGAAGACGGTGAGCGGAGCATGACGATGACGCGCCTCCTGGTTAATCTTCTCGAACAGCTTATTTATTTGCTCAAAGCGATTCGAAATGACAGACACATGATAGATGAATTCCCCTTGAATAATGCTGCCAGCCAGATATGGAAAGCTCGACACCATAAATGGTATTATCGCATATTCGCCGAAGGTGCTGCAAATTGTATGAGAAATTATGTTCAGATATAGCTGTGTTTTTTTTTTATGTTGTGTGTTTTACTTGGTTATGGTCAAGGCAGATTTTTTTCGTAGACAATTTATTCAACAACTAATATTTATTTAATTTATTTTATATGGTAAAATGATAGATCAGAAGCGAAACAGACAAATTTAAAATATATTTTTGCTTAAAATAAATATTTATGTATGTTTTGCGACAATCGATTAAAATTTAAAAAACAAATCCTAATTTTGATATAATTTCTAAAAAAAATGGCAACATGGCGTTGGTTTTTATGCCACAACATTTTTTAATATTTTTGAATATTTTGGGCAAATACAGTCAGATTTTGGAAAAGTACACTCGTTAAGACTCTTACTATCGATTGGCATTACAAAACCGAATTCCAAATTTGGATCAAATTTGTCAAAAATGGCAAGGGGTAACATCACGGTCGGTTCTGAACATCCACAAGTTTTTAAGGGCAGTAAGTTCTCTAGACCTTCTCTTCAAGATTGGACTCGATTCAAACGATTTCCCTTCATTTAAATGTTTATAAACAAAGGTAAAATTTGGAATAGTTTGGAGTATGTTAAAATACCACTTCGGGGTCGATTTATGCAAACAAGCTCTTTCGAATATCGAGCTTAGTCAGCAAAACAAGCTTCTATTTAAATTTTTCATTTACATGCGTTGTTTCGATTTTCGCGAGTATCAGAGTTCACTTTAATAAACCAAAAAAGTCGCGTTGAGTTTTCGAATTATGCATTAGGAAACTAAAATACATTCAGATTGTATGAATGCCATGTCGATAAATATGCAAATCCCAAATATGGGCATTTATAAGCCCATGGATGATGATGAGCCACGCATTGATAAGTATGTCATACTCACAGATACAATTCCCTGGAATCGTAGTAGAGGGCAAAGATAAAAACGCTGAACACAAATAGCCAGGTGAAATGATAGGCAACGCTGTGTTTAACCGCCTGGGAGCGCATTTTATCCAGTTCGGCGACCCGACGGCACTTCTGAATGATGACATCGATCTCCGCGAGGCGCGTCTCAAAGTCCACAAAGAACTGCTTGCGGCGATACAGACTCAGCAATATGACGGTCAGATAGAGAAAGGCGCCGAGATGCATGAAGAGATTGTTGCTCAGCCGGCAGACACTGTTGCAGTCATCCAGAAATGGCAGCCCGAATCTGTGATACAGATTGATGCCCAAATAGGAGGCCAGATACAAACAGGGCATGATCAACATCATGACATAGTCCAGCATAAAGTTCGACTGTAATTGCTGTCGATTCAGTGGTATGAGCCCAATGGCCTAAAATATGGAATCGAAGAAATATATATATATTATATATAATGTTCCGTGTTAATAATATGCATAACTCACCATTGACAGCCAATTCATAACTTGTATCATTTTGTTTTGGTGGTTGTCTCTTCGAACTAACTGCCTCGCTTTGCTGCACGCTCTGGACTAACCTGCCAGCTCGAGTGTGGCTTCAATTCGACCCTATATATTGGTTCAGTTTGTTGTCATAATAAAAACGGTTTCATTGAGTGGATAATGCGCATATGTTTAAGATAAATATCTTCGGAGTTGTGCGCCTCCCCAAAAAAGTGGGGCTGGTAATGCTTTTAGTTTATTAAATGTGAACAACAAATGCACTGAGCGAAATTACAAAATGTTTAGTCATTTACCCATAAATGTGTGGAAAGGAATTGAGATAAGTTTGTTTACTTTACCAACACTTGTTATATGAGTCCAATAATCCATTATGTAAGGACATATTTCGAATTAAATAAACTTTTTTACTCCTTTCCAGAATATAAAACAAACTGATATGAAATTTTCAAACATGATGCGAGATTATTTTCAGTTTGTTTTTCAAGCGATTAAATCAACGTTTTTCGATGGTTTCGTTAATTACCCAACACTGGCTACCTGTTTAGTGTTGCCATCCAACTGAAATTAAGCTCTTTTATGAGCTCATTTGTTATTAGTTTGTTGCGATTTAACAAGTTGTATAAAATTCTTAATTAGATTTTGGTTAATTTTATTTTCGAAGCATCTCACACTTTGCTTTTACAACTATTTGCATTGTTTTCTCCTCCATTACGAGGCACTACAACAATTTGCCTGCACTTGGCGGCATCCTCTGAGCTTGATCTAATAATTTCCACATATTTTCACCGTATTTTACTTGCTAATTAAACAATTATAAGTTAGAGGCCCGACATCTGGGCTGGCTTTCAGCACAAATTAACAACTACAACGAAAACGACAACGACAACTACTATGGCAACAGCAACTACAACAATAACAAACGCGTTAGCTTTGCGCAGCTCTAAGAAAACCAATTAAAAGCAAAGCCCCTTGCAGCATTAGAACCGACACATGGATAATAAAATGCAAATTTCCCTCGAGCTGACGGCTGCTCTAAGCAGGCGGGGGAGCGGTGGGGCAGGATGATGACGTGGGGGAATGAATGTTTGTGTTCTGCTGGGATACAGGAGGAGTTACTTCTGATGCGAGTAAGCTCTGGCTCTGTTGAAGGTGTTGGCTTTTGCTTCGCATAGTTAATAATTGAGTTTGCAACTGAGGCACGCACAGCTCAGCCAAAACACACACACACACACACACACACACGCACACACACGCACACACACGCACACACATGCACACCGTACACACATGTCGTGCAGAGCGGGTAAACAAGCTGCTTTGAGGCTTATGCCTCTGCACGCGCTAAGACCGCATAAATACAAACACACACACACCCACAACTAACTGTAATGGGGCTTGGCTAACACACACACACACACACACACACACACACACACTTTTTGTCTGACTAGCCGCATCTTTGTTTATGCGAATATTGTGAACAGATTTAACTGCCGCTGAGCTTTATCATTTGCGTATTTAAATTTTGATCAACCCGCTTCTATTTGTTATTTTAACATTATCTTACTTGCTGCTTGCAGTTATTGTTATTGTTATTGCTATTGCTATTGCATTGCTGCCCTTGTCATAAACACGCCCACATTTTGCGCCCAATCCTGCGTTGCGCTTTATGGCCGCTGCGTTGCCGAATATTTTGTGGCTTTCCGCTTTTTATTTGCTCCCACTGGCGGTATCAATAAAATTGCGGTCATAAACTGAAACCGCAGCAGTGCCACGCCCCCACCGCCAAGTCTCAACTAGCCACATCCTGCTGCCAGCCAGATCCGTTCCCAAGTGCCGACGCTTTAGTCACTCAATCAAGTGGCACATACATTTCGGGGCCCCGCCCACAATTTTCGTGCGCCACGTAATGAGTTTGTTTGCCCAAGATTTTGGGCAAAGATTTGCCTAAACGTTTCTTTGGTTAGCCAGAAATTACGAGCCGAGCCGAAAATGTAGAGATTGCGTTCCAGAAACTGCAGCATGTTGATTTTGCCAGGCAGTTAAGGCCTGACAATTTTGTAAGCGCGTTTGCCAGCAGATTAGGGATTACCGCTAACCGATTACAAATTTAACTTAGCTTTAGTGCTAGTTAGTAGAGCTAAGAGTTGGTAAGTCTGCTTAAAAGTGTTTAACAAAACTGCTGTATTTACAAAATTCCAGCAAAGAGATTTCGCAAAGCTCAACAGTGCTCGTTTCCCAAGAATCATATTTATGTTATAATACCTATTTAAAGCCTTTACAAGAATTCTGCTTAGCTTGCACTACAAATTGCAAACAAATCTGTCAAATTTCTGACAAGAAAACTCAAATAGTTAACGTAAGACTTTTGACTGATTATTTTCCGTTGAACATTTCAACGCTGTTCAAAAATTAAGATTTCAAGTCATACAAAGTGATTATTTCAGTTTCTAAAATTTCATATATCTTCTTATATAATTATATATGATTATAAATCTTAAGCTGTAAGCTCTTGCGCTAACAAATTATGTTTTTTACAAGTCGATTAATTAACAGAGACTGACTTGAAATATGTATTCTCCATAATAAGAGTTGTTGTTTTAATTAAAGGGCTAAGCTAACTATTGAGCTAAAGTTTCATACAAAATATTCAAAATATATAGTCTCACCTAATATCTTATTTCTCATTATGCTCGCTTTTAAACGGGGTGGTCTCTGATTTTCACACATTTTGTGGCCTCGATGTCATTTTAGGAGAGAAGAGACTTTCTTGGCTGTTGGCAACTGATTCATTTTCAATTTCATTTGATCCCAGGGATTATTATGTCTGTGCTTTTCCGTGTTAGCATCTTAGCTTAGTTTTGTACAGTTCTTGCTTCACTTACATAAAATAAGTGCAATTTGATTAATCGGGTTCACCTGGAGCTAAGCGTTAACTTACAAGTGTGTTCATATCATTACAGGCAATGCGATGAACATTTTTCGGAGTAAGGAAGGTAAGTAAGGTAAATACATCAACATGGATAGGAATATGACAGGAATATCTATGCAAATCGTTGGGAATTATAAAAGGGATATTGAGATGTAAGAATTTTTTCAATTAATATATATTGAAAGAATTGAATATATATATTGAAAGATTTTTTGCGTTTTGAGATCAGCTTTATAACTAATTGCATCTCGAATTTGCAGCTTTTAAAGACGTTTGCTGAGATGTAGGATGTGGTTTGTGCATAAAATTCGCAATAACCGAGCTAAGATTTGTCTGGCTGATTTTTGGCCTTTTTTTCGTCATTTGTTGTGCTCGATGTATTTGGCAGGACCTCCAGAAATTGAATCCTTAAACGTGTAAGTGTCTGAGCGAAGCTCAACACAGTCTGAGGCCTGTCAAAATGTTCCTTATGCTTTTCCTGCCAACTAATAATGACGCTGCTTGTTTTGTTCTCTTTAGCGATTTTAGTGGCTTCGCTTACATAAATATTTCATTGAAAGCCATTCATAAAGGTCTTTGGTGCGCGCTGGTCCCAGCCACGTGTCCTGCTCGAGAGAGCCAACCGAACTGCGAACTGAGAAATCGAGAAATTGAGCATTTGCCGCTTTTCCTCGGAGCTTTTCACCACACATTTTGGCGCACAGGACAACAACTTTTCGTGCAAACATTTCGAGTTTAATTTGTTGTTGCCGCCAGTTTTGGAATGCAACTCGGCAAACTGACAATATGCAATGGGCAACGGGCAGCGGGCAATATGTTGACGTTGCCTAAATGTCAAATGCCAAGGATAATTCGTGGCGTTAATGCAGCAATTTCCGATGACTGCGAGTTGCTGTAAGTCAATGTTATGTCTGTAATCTGAAGATCAGAAGTCAGTTATGGCAAATGTTGTGTATGCTTAGTTTCTGATTTTCTTTTAAAAATAAAAATACTATTTTATTATATATAAAATATATTATGCTATTAACATTAAAGGTCATGTAGAGAACTTAATAATGAATTAAATCGAGCTATTTTTAGCTTCACCTTTTATATCCTGAACCCATTGAAAATGGATAAAAATCGTATAATGTTCTTGTGAATAAGTATGTAATAGGCAGAAGAAAGTATCTCCGACTCCATAAAGTATATACATATATATATTTTCGATCAGTATCAATAGCCGATTCGATCTGCAATGTATGAACGCATCGATCTTAGATACTAAAAACGACCTAATTTTATATCTCCGCGCGGAATTATATCGTTTTTAGATCATCGGAGCTATGTCGCTTTAAATATGTAACCAAGCTTTAAATGCAATAATATATCATAATAATTATTTTTGAATTCTTTGAGCAATGCACAAATTGTAATTTGATTTAGTTTAGTCAGGACACGAACCAAAGTATGCATTGCGAAATAAATTGTTTGCCGGCGCACAAAAGTATGCTGCAGTTATTTTCGGCGCTCTAGTGAACCGCACAATAAAAGATCAAAAGATCGATGGTTTTGATTGGATGCGTGTACGATTTAAACATAGCAAACGAACAAGAAGCAGAAAAGAAAGAAAAACAACAACAAAGGCGCCTTCGCCCGATAGGTGTGCGGCGTTGTTTTGGGGTGTGTGTGAGTTGTGTTTTGTGTAGTCGTTGGTTAAGCGCTTAGCGCAGCGGACGTCGCTGCCGGCTGAGTTGTTCGAATTATTGTTGAGACTTTGTGCTGTCGACGAAAATATTTTAAGTGTGTGTGTGCGCGCGTGTGTGCGTGCGTGTATGTGCACTATGTCAATGCATCACATTGACAGCAAACAGGACACAAAGGATGCCAGGCTGCTGCTGCCGGCATTTGTGCCGCCGCGTGCGCCATTGCAAAAGATTTTCATTGATGATTTGACGGCGACGCATTCGCTGGAGCGACGACGACTCTGGCATGTGCCCTGGTTCCTATTGTTGATGTCCCTTGTGCAGGTAGTTGACGTGCTGCCTGCCCTCGCTGCAGTTGCACGCGTTTTTTGGCACGCGTGCCACACGGCGTATGCGCAACGTGTGCCCCTGTTTAAGTGTGTGCCATTTGCTGCCGTTATCATTTTCCACTTGAAATACAATTTAGAAGATTTTTCGTGTTTTCATTTTCATTTGCACACATTTCTATCGCCACTTGCGGTTCATAATTACTTTTACTTTTGTTTACACATATATTTCGCCCGCATCTCGACGGAAGATTTTCAGATTTATTTTTAGCCCTCAAAATTCGTGTGAATCTCTTTTCCATATTATGATAATTTATTGTTTTGTTTATGGAATTCTGTTTCACTTATCAGACTTTTATTTTCATCTATATACTGCAATATACATTTATGTTTATTTGTGCGGTTTCTGAGGTCGCTCAACTTTTAATCAGCAATTGTTTTTTTTTTTAACAAAGAGTTTCCTCATGTCAATTGCGTTTGTTGCGATTTGTTGTGAATCATTTTCTTTCGTATTCGCATGAGGCAGATAAAGTTAACCATTAACTTTTGCTGATTAATAAATTGCTTTCGCTGACTTTGTGATATTGTTTGTGCACATGAATTAAATGCGTACTAAATGGAAATTACAATGTAATTACATTAAAACTGCATTGCATTTTAGCACCAGTTAGAATTAAACTATTTAATTTGCTCTACCTTTTAAGTAAGTGACTTAAAACCAAATTACGTCATTTAATTTTAGAGTCATGCCCAGTTATATTTTAAGAATAGAATACTATTATATATATTTAAAATATATTTTTTAATAATTATTCTAAATTACTTTGGTTTCTTAATTAATATAATGGAACTTACTGTTAATTTATTATTGATTAATTCATTTCTTATATATGATCCCTCAATTGTAAAAGCCAACTTTTACTGAAAAGCATTCTTGGCTTGTGATGAAGATTTTTGACCCACCTGCTCCCTTTCCAGTCTGCATGACGACTGCGACGAGTGTTCCAGCTGATTGCACATTTTGGGCTGCTGCAAGTGCTGTGGTTTCATAACAAGTGGTTGCATTCACCACACTCAACACCCACCCAACCATCGAGCCACCCAACCATCCCATCCACTCACTGGGGCGAAGTCACACAAGTGCTTCCCAAGTCTTAGTTGACCCATTTGTGGCACAGATTAATGAATGGCTCCTCTCATTTAATAACATATTTGCAATATTTGCTAACTACGCGCTGTAATGCCGCGTTCGCTGTTAATTGTTTGAGCCCAGCCCAGCTAGGTTAGGCTAAGATATTCATTCCATATTACACAATCTGAAACTTCAACTCAATTCCAATCACAATCGACGTGGCTCGAGTCTTATTGCCATTTTAGTCAGCGTTGACTTAAATGTTGCAACTGGCATTTGTCATATTTGGCGTGAGGCATGTTGCACCGATTTGGCGTTGTTTTTTTTTGCTGTTGTTGTTGTTGTTGTTTTTATTATTGTTGTTGCTGTTGTTGTTGTTGTTGCTGCTGTTGTTTTTGTTACCATGTCAAGCTGTTCTTGGCACTCACACTTGGACATCTCACACTTGGCTGCTGAGCGAAAGTGACAGATGGCTTGACATCATTTTTTTTTTCTTTTATTTCGATTGATTACACTGTGCAACAACGCGCGCATAGAATTGAGTTTATTAGAGTGGAAGTTGCTATCATATTGTTTATGTATATGAGACTCCTCACTCAAAATCATGTTTAAATGTGTTGTAATAATAAATTCTTGAAGGGAGAAAACTATATTTTTCTTAAATGATATTTAAACAGTCAAAAAAATTGCTAATGTTAAATAAATAAAATAATTGAATATATGATGCCATACATATACTTAAAGATTCCCAAAAACCTCGCTTTGCATCATATTTTTATCATTTTATCTATCAATACTAGCTCAAGTTACTCTGGCAATTGTGTAATGAGATGAAATGAAAAATTGTCAAATGAAACTGAGAATAAATACAAATCAGGAAAATATAGTCGCAAACAAGTCTTGGTTACCAGCAAAAACTTGGTTTGTCATATGAGAAAAATGGAAAATAAATCTTTATCTATAAATCATATCATTAAATACATTTTTTGTTTAAATTAAACATTTTTTTTGCCAAATTAATGAATATAAATATTGTTACCAATTTCTAAAGAGCTTTAAAATATAAAAATCCACAAATGTTAAAGAGCTAACACCAAAACCTGTAGTCTTTGGCATATTAGCCTTTACTTATGTAGCGCAGTGTAATGTTAATGTTTATCGTTTAAGGTCACTTATTGTCGCTTCCACATTCGCAGTTATCGCTGCATCTGATTGTCAATGGTTGCATGCAGCGGCGTCTCATCTACAAACCGGAGCTGGGTCACGAATATTGGCGCTTCTTTACATACATGCTGCTCCATGCGGATACCTGGCACTTGTGGATCAACATGTGTCTGCAGGTGGGTTGGCCCACTGAACCACTTCAAATGCACTCAGGCTTAATGTTTACGCTTCTTTCTTTCCCTTCCTTTCTTCGTTTTTTTTTGCTAGTGCTTTATTGGTGTCTGGCTGGAATTGGAGCAGGGTCATTGGCGTGTGGGCGTGGTCTACATTACGGGCGGCATTTGCGGCGCATTGGCCAATGCCTGGCTGCAGCCGGAGCTGTCATTGTTGGGCGCATCGGCGGGCGTCTATGCCTTGCTGTGCAGTCATGTGCCGCACCTGGTTTTGGTCAGTCAACTGTGGCTAAATCAAATGCAACCGCAATTTAATTTGATTGCATACTCTGTTCGCAATGTGTGCCAAGGGTATATTAGATTTGTGTAATGTCCGTCTGTGCGTAATTTTTTTATACTTGGACTCGTATATTTCCGCATCTGACAAAGCGCTGAGAATCGTTTTTCACACATTTTGGCAGATGGACTAAAACATGATTGCCTCCTGCCGCAAATATTGAACTGAAGCCTCCTTTTGATTCCTTTAAGATGTGAACAGAGTATGGCGCAGTCGGTTGCAGCCGACTGCAACGTTTTTACTTGCGTTACTTTGTGTATTTATTTGATTTTTATTTTTTTAATTTATTTTTTATAGAACTTTTCACAATTGTCGCATCGGTTTTTGCGCATTGCCGTCTTGTTGATTTTGTTTGCCAGCAATGTGGCATTCACAATTTTTCACTATTGCATCAATCACAATCTCAATCCCCGCATCAGCCTGGAGGCCCATCTGGGCGGGGGCGTGGCCGGCTTGTTAAGCGGCTTCCTCGTCTATCGGAGATGGCAGCGTCTCGACTCTCTCGGCCCGCAAATGCGTAATAATCTAACTAATTGCTAAGACTATAATTAGATATTTGTTCTGTTTTGTAGCATTAATTTAGTCTTAACATTTGCAATGCCAGTCAAGTCCGCCGGAAAAAGCGAATTAAACAATTTTTTGCTTATTTATTTATTGTAATTTTTTTGGTAGCTCTCGCTTTAAATTTATGGTCAAGCAATTGACTTCGACGCGTTCTTTAAGGGCATGCACAAATTTCTATGCAATACGAATTGTTTGAATAAATTTTATTGTTACACCCTCGAGTTGTTTCTATAGACCCCAATTTGATGATTCAGCTATAATAATTGGCTGTTAAAATTACACGCAATTTTACAAGGCGAAATTTAACGGATTTTCGATGTCAGCTCATTAAATATTTATGTGAGCATAACTTAACTGGATCATTGTGATTTTCAGTAATGTAATTAGTTTTCATTTATTTTCAGCATTGGCATATAAATATTCAGCTTTGAGATTGTTCGCATTTTCATTCGATTCTCAGTATCTCATTAAATTCCTCTAAGTTTGATTGTATATCAGAAATAGATCAATTCATAATTCTAAAGAAATTCTGAATTTAAAAAATTTTACCTCAAAAGCCTTTGAATATGTGTAGATAATGTAAATGTTAGAAAATTCCATTGGTTTTGCATGAATTTTCTTTCCTGTTCAAAGGTGAGTCAAAAGAGCTGCATACTCTGCACATAAATGTTATTTACGAATTCTATTTCATTTCGTATTTCGTTGATTATTGTAAATTATAAATAAATATCGATCATTATTTTAGAGAAATATTAAGGCGAGCTACTTTAAAATTCATGAATAATATTATTTACAGCAGAGACAAGAAGTATAGCTAAAAACTGTCAGATATCAAGAATTATTATCTAAACTACCGTCTGTAGTTTAGACTACACAGGTTTAGGAAATTTTTAGGCCAGCTTAAACATTCCTAAAGTAAATTAACTCAATTATTTGTTGAGTTTTCTTCACTCTACTTTCTTCACTCTCTAAGACATATAGAATATTTCGGCAAAAGGGAAAACTTTTTTGTTTTCCAAGATAGTTTTTTTTTTTAAACATAAACATAATCCCATCAATATCGGAATACTATCTACTTTGAATACACTCGTTCGGAAATAGAGTATTTTTGCAAAAACCCCATTGTGTTGCTAATTATAGAAGATTCTGTGTGTCTGTTTTATATCTGCATTTGCTTTTGATCTACGACAACCTAATGAGAAGTATTCTCACTTTTAAAAACTAACACAGAAGGCCTTAAAAGATTTGAGATATGCATACTCTTCGAGATATGTGATATGTATTAAGTGTATAATATAAATTAAAGATATATTTATAAAAGCTTTGTTTACTATGTGAGACGTTTAAGGATACAACGCAAAAAAGGAATTGGGAAAATAAATGTTCTTTCGATCAATAAAAATGATGACAATTAAGATTACTTTTTTTTTAGATATAGGTAAATATTTATTTTAATTTAAAATTTAAGAATTAAGATTTAATTAAATAATAAAATTAGATTTTAAATGCATTGAAGTAAGTTCAAGTGTGGTGAAATAAAAATAGTTGCAGCGCATAGCTATGTCTATAATACAACTTAATATTAAGTAAATATTTAAAACTACAACTAACTTAAATCCTTTGCGATTAGACGACTATACCAAAGAGAGCTTTAAGCCTTTAATATGTGTACTACAAACTAGATGTTAAATGCAAAAGTAAACAGCTAAATTGAAAGTTGGGCAAATAGACGCTGGCTAAAATGCTAACACATACACAAAGACAAACGCACACACTCGCACACAAACAGACACGCACACAGACAGGCACAACGCACGAGCGGGATTGGAGGGGCGCCGGAGGGGCATTGCTTAAATTAACAGTCTAATGGGCCGCACTTGACGCCCACCTCGGTGCATTTGCATTCCAGACATTGATTGGATAATTCGACTATAATGCGGCCAACGCGATACATGCGACCATAAATGTTGCAGCCGGCTAATTTTAGCATGCCCGTGGGATCCATGAGCCCGTCGCCCGCGCCCCCTCCACCCGCCAAATTGGCATCTGCTGCTGCTCCGGATGCAGCTCCGGCTGGTGTTGCCATTGTTGTTGTTGTTGTGCTGCTGCTGCTCGGCGCGTGCTGATAATGATGAAATTGCTGCGGTCGCTGTTGCTCGGCCAACAGCTGCAACTGTTGCTGCTGTTGCTGCTTCTGGTGTGGTCTCACCTCATAGCTGGTGTCCATGAAGGGCAATTTGTCGAACGGTGACATTAAAAATGGATGCACTGTGCTGGAAGCAATTGTTGCTGCTGCTGCTGTTGTTGCTGCTGTTGTTGTTGTCGTTGCAGCTGTTGCTGTTGTGCTTATTGTTGTGTGCGGCTTAGGCGTTGTTGTTGTTGCTGTTGTTGTCGTTGTAGTTGCTGACGTGCTTTTGGTCTTGGTACTTGTCTGCGCTGCGGTGGCCATTGAGCTGTTTCCGTTGCTGTTGCTGCTGCTGTTGCTGGCGGGAGTTCGACGCGTGGCTGCTTGACCTTTGTATCTGGCGGGCTTTGTTGTTATTGTCGTTGGCTGTTGGCGTCTGTTGCCTGACGGCTTCTGCTTTGTTTTATTGCCCTTTTTGTGGCCACGTGCTGCTGTGGGCGTGGCAAGCGGTCGCGCAGTGCTTGTCGCTGTGGTTACTTTTGCGTTTGTTGCTGTTGCTGCTGTGCTGGGCAGCTCGGTTGAACGCGTTGGCAATGTCTTAAAGGGCGGCACTGTGCTGCTGCTGCTGTGGGTCAAGCTGGGCAGGTTCATGCCCAGGAGCTCATCTAGGAGCTCATCCAGTTTATTGATCTCATTTTTATCTATCAGCGGTGTTTGTTTAGTGGTTGTGGTTGTTGTTGTTGCTGGTGCTGTTGGTGTTGTTGATGGCGCAGCAGCAGCTGTTGCTGCTGCAGTTGCCTCTGCAGCTTTGAAGCCGGAAGAGCTGCTTATGCTGTTGGTGACACTCTCGACGTGCTGTTGCTGTTGCTGTTGCAGCTGCTCTTGCGTCGGCTTCTTGTCCTCAATGAGTGTGTCGAGATTTGGCGGTCTTTCCGTGTGTATCACATCTTTGAAGGGATCTGGCGTTGTGATCTCTGTGATATATTCCACAAAGAGCAAAGTAAAGAAATAAATAATTGTAGTTGGAGAGTGAGTATATACACAATTGGCAAATTCCTTGTGAAAAGCTTATCTAAGTTGAACTTTCGAATGTTTCAGTTTTTTTCGAAACGAACTAATATTTTAGGATATGCTCACAAGAAAAATAAGTTATATGTATTTAGAAAAAAAACTTGGAAGCGGTTTGAATAAAATAAAGGTACACGCAACTACTTCCGCCCATTTTTCGAAAGCAATGCGTTGCTCCGAAGTTAAATTTGAAGCCTGTTAAAAACTATAATATAAAAAAGTAAGGACAGAAAATCTGAATTCAAGTTTTCCAGTATTGCGAAAGGAATAATCGAAGACCACAACGAGCAATAGTAAAAAATCGAATTCCAAGCTTCGGTGGTTTGGGCTGTGAGTTCATCAAACAGTTTATATATCAATCAGTCAGTCAATCAATCAGCCGAAAGTCAGCGAGAGGCAGATTTGAGAAATATATCTAGATATTCGCGTCTTAAATAAATCATAATAATAAATTTTCCAAGACCCCGTCTTAATGTGAAATAGTTAAGCTTTCAATCTTCGGCGATTTGTGCTGTAAGTTGTTCATCAATCAGTCAGTCAGTCAATCATTCAGTATAAATATATGTCAGTAATATATCTAAGTATTTCCTTCTTAAATTGTCTTGAATTGTCAAGGTCTTATTGTGCACTAGTGAAAAAATTAGTGAAATCAGCATAAACAGTTTTTAGTAGTATATCTAGAATTGTTCGTCTTAAATAAATAGGGGTATTCATTTTAAATAATCAAACAAACATTTCTGAGTTACATCAGGCTCAAAATAATATTTATAAAATAAAAGTCTTACCGATTGATGCGGTGTCGTTATCGTCCCGCTCTGTCGTTATATCGATAATATGCTGTGTGACATGATAGTTATCGCTCAGCAGGACATTCGATGTCACATGCTCCTGGAGCACTTCTCCATCGATTACCAATGGTTCCTTGGGCATAAAGCCGCCCTCTGTTTCGGTGGGTGGTGAGAAGCCGCTATGCACGGGTGGTTGCACCACCTGTTCCTTAAAATCATACTTGACATACCCAGAGCTGCCCTCATACTGGCCGCCCACATGCACTACCGGCTCGGGTGGTGCTTCTGCTGCCGGTACCTCCACATTAAATTTGTATTTGTAGGCAGCCTGATCGTTGTGGCTGTTGTAGTTGTTGGGGTGTTGCGGTGGCTCGGCGTAGGGCGAATCATAATCAATGCCCATTTTATCGGCAGCCAGTGGCTGTTGATAGTAGCTGTGGCTGTTAAAGCTTTCCGGTGGTGGTATTTTCGGCGCTGAGTCCACCGCATCCGTGGGCAGAAAGGGTATGATTTTCAGATTAGGCAAGCTGGGCGGCAATGTTGGCGCGGTGCTGTCACCGTCATCCAAAGGTTCCGCTTCCAAAATGCTCGGATTTGTTTTGATAATAAGCGGTACAGTGGTGGTGGTGCTGGTTATAATGTAGGGTGGTTGCTTGTGTTTGATTGGGGGTCTAAAGGTGGTTTTCAAGGCTGCGGTTTTAGGCTTCGGTGTAGTTGTTGTTGTGGTTGTGCTGCTTGTTGTTGTTGTTGGTTGGCTTGTGGTTGTTGTGGTGCGTCTGGTGGTTTTGGGTTTGGATTTGGTGGTTGTAGTTGTTGGTCTGCGTGTGGTTGTGGTAGTCGGTCTCGTTGTTGTGGAGCCAACTTTTGAAGTTGTTGTAGGTTTAGCTGTGGTTGTTGTTGTTGTGGTGGTGCTGCTGGTGGTGCTTCTGCCGGGCATGGTTCTGTATGTGACTGGCTGTCCGTATTTGCTAGTGACCACCACCATGGGCGGGCTTACTGTTAGATTAGCCAGCTTGGAGTTGATTCGCGTGTGCTGTGGCTTATTGCTGGGCAGTGGACGGAACATGGGTGGTGCATGTGTAACAATGGGTTGCCTAGTTG